TGTCCTCCTTGATGCCTGGTTTGGAGGACCACCATGAGGGTCCTGGGAACTATGTGCTGTCTACGAATGATGACAGTCATAACAACAACAACACTGACAGCAAAGCTAACCCCATCTACACCCAGCCGTGTTCTAAGTGTAAACCCCACCACTGCTGGACCAGCTCTGAAAGCAGAGGCATGATTATCCTCTCTGTAGAGATGAGCTCAATCATGCTTAGAGGATTCAGATAACTCATGGGGGTATAGCTAATCCATGGGCATTGCCCCCTGGTCAGTGTGAGTTTAGAACTGTGTGATCTTAACCATAACATAACCCCTGGAGTCCATCTCTTTCTTAACCCTCAGGAAGTGTGGCTCCTCTCCTAGATATTTCAAAGAGGGGGTGTGGATGAAGACAGGCCACTAAGTGGAAAGCATCCTTTACTAAGAACAACAGGTTCACGGCTGTGCTCTCTCTCTTAAATTGACTGAATCTCTTCCAGGGGCCCTAGCTCCCCAGAGACACTTGCCTCTTTTGTGGTCTGCTTTGTCCTGTGTGTCAGGACTTTTTTATTTCTTGACTGGCATAATATTATTTTGTTTGCATCTCAATAGTGATGGTTCCCACCCTCCCTTGCAGCTAGGCTGGGTACATGACCAGGTTTGTGGACAGAAGAGAGCAGAAATGACACACATCACTTAAGATCTGAGACAGCTAAGCATCTTGGGTGCCTTCCCTACAGTGTGATTGTGTATTTCACATTGTAAGCACCCTGATGTGTGATAATCTCTCCTCCTGTGTCTTTGTGTCTGTGTGTGCATACTAGAGGTAGTGAACAATGGAGGATGAAGGGAGGGAGTCCTGGTGGTTGCCTGGTGGCCAACGGGTGTCCTTTCTAGTCACACCCCTCACCAGTAGGGGCTGAGGCAATCTTGAATATGGCTTCTCCTAAGGAACTCAAGGACCACAGGTCCCTCTGGGTTCAGGAAAGTCTGTCTTTAGCTGATGAGATCAATGCAGGATCTTCCATTTGGTAACTTGGCATTTCACATCCTCGTTAGGCACCTGGGCAGTCATCCAGGGGGAGCTCCCGTCGGCTGTCCTCCCCCATTCTTGTACTTCTCAGGGGATGCTGTGAAAAATCCCTCCTCATAGTTCTTCTTTCAAGACCAAGATGAAGCCAAAAAAGTTTTGGCCAAGTTATCCTGAGTTAGGGGCTTTACATCACACTGTGAAAGACGCAATAAAAGAGCACTGCCGGGTACATCAGAGGGAATAGTGAGATGCCATGTTTTGATCCTAGCAGCTTGTTGAAAAATGGCCTTTTAAAGAAGAAAGCAAGTCTAGTTAGCAGAAAGGAGAGTAAAGAGGTATTCGGATGTGAAGAAAATAAAAGGCTTTAGAACAACTGAAGGAAAGATGTATTGGCGTGAACAGTGAATAAAATATTAGGGAAATAAAAGGATGGAGGTGGCCATTAGTAACGGTTAAGGCAGAAAAAGGTACGTCATCAAGACTTGAGGGAGAAGACGAAAAGGATAAAAGGAGATATTACTGTGAGAACAAAGAGAGAGCCCGGTGCAGAGTAAACACCTCCTCTAAGCTGCTAAAAGCCGAGCAGGGAAGTGGTCGAATGCAAGACTTGGATATGAGCAGACAGGCTCTCTCCAGCAGGCAAAGAGGCGACACATTCAGATGACTCACAGAATGGTAAAGAGAGTTCACACCAATTGCTATGTATGTGTGCCTTCACAACAGTCAAATTTATGACTAATAAGCAAAGTTCTTCTACATAAAAAATCTTAACGTTTTTATTTATTTGTGTGTGTACATATGTGTACATGCGCACACACCTGCATGCACCATGGCACACGTGTGGAGGATTCTTTGTGGGAGGTAGCTCTCCCTTTATATTATGTGGGTCCTGGGGATCAAACTCAGGTCCTCAGGCTTGGCAGCAAGGACCTTCATCTGCTGAAACATCTTGCTGGCCAGAACCAAAGTTCTTAACCACAAAGTGCAAATGTCATGAACAGGCCCTAGATCATGTCCCTTGCCTGCTTTTTCTTACCCCTCAGGGTCTCTGTGACATTGGCTTCCATTTGTATGTCACTAAAGTATCCCACACTATTTTGTTTGTCTTTAGTAGGTAAATGCAGAGACTCAAGCATCTTGCAACTTTATGGTTCTGTTTGACTGCTTTCATCTCTCATGCAGGAGGTAGCATGTGTCAGTGTGGTCTCCATGCTGAGAGCACACAGCTTTCATGGGGTTCAGAACACTGTTTCAGAAACTAAAGGGTTTTCTGTAAATTCCTTAAGAATATATCCAGTAGGGGCTACAAAGATGGCTCAGGGTCAAGGGCACTTTCTACCCTTCCAGAGGACGGGTTCATTTCCTAGCGTCCACACTGGGCAGCTCACAACCTCCTGTAACTCCAGGGGATCCAGTGCTCTCTCTGGCTTCTCTGAGTACTGCACTCACATGCATAACCCCCCCCACAAACACACATATACATACAATTAATATTAAATAAAAAACACCTGCAACTACAGCTCCTGGGACTCCATGGAGTTGCCCCCCCCCCCAGGGGCACATAGCTAAATAAACAATAAAATAAATATTTTTCAAAATGCAAAGAAAAATCTGTGAAGGGGAAAGAAGGGAGAGAGAGAGTTGGGGCGGTGGAGGTGCCTGATTTGAAATACTGGTTAGCTGGGTGGAGAAGGCCAGTCAGAATTTCAGGCTTTGATTTTCCTCTTGCAAGTGCATTGCTGTTCCTTGAAGATGCAGGTTTTCCTAAGTGATGCTCAACAGTCTCCAGTCTGAAAACTTGGCCATTTAGGCACAGTTAACCTTATCCGCAGACTCCACACTCAGAACAAACCATGTCCATTGCTTGGAGATGAACTCACAAGTGCCTAACCAGAACTGTTCTTTGTATTTTCTTAGTCACAGACACAGACAAGCAATTTCACCGAGAGAGGGTAGCCAGATTTTGCTGACCTGACAAATCACACATAAGCATAAAATTTTAAATGTGGTTAATTCCCATATCACTGGCTTTCCTGAATCCTGTCATTGATAATCACCCTAGTCTCATTTAGCATTTACAAGCTTATGCAGGAACAACAACTATAACCTAGTTAATTACCTACAGGATTCACACACACACACACACTCTCTCACACATACAACTATGATATTGGAATGTACAGTACAGTATGGCCTAGTTTAAATTAAAAAGATCCCCTTAAGTATGATTGTTTCCGGCTTCTCGGTGGTGAATTAAAAGCCGTTTGGAGCCATGAAGATTACAGGAGCAATCACATTTACGGGCCTGCTTTGCATACCAACTCTATTAATTTCCATATTCAGGGTGACTTCGAATTTCCAAGCATGTTAACATAGAAACCATTTGGGGTAATCACTTGGAACAAGAAGAAAAACAGGAGAGCAAGAGAGGCAGAAACAGGCAGACAGACCCGGGGGGCAGGGAAAAGAGGGGTGACTCAGAAGGTTCTCACCAATCAAGTTCTACTTGAAATATATTGATTCTGATAAACACCGAAATCAGAAGACAAATGAGTGCTCTTGAAGGCCTGACCCCAGAGTCACACTTGGAGACATGGTTACTAGGATAGTCTATATTTGGGATTCATTTCTTGTGCTAGTCCTGTCCCGTGTCATTAGACTCTAATTACTGAGATAATTCCATTGGTGTAATTGAATCAGGTGTGCCCAGGCTTCACCTTGGACACCCCGATGTTCAGTTTCGCACCTTCATGATTATGTTTATTTCAACTCTTAAAAGATGTGCCAGCCTCACAGAATCTTCCAATCAGTCAAGCTGTACCTTTTTTTTTCCTTTAAGCATACTAGCCATATACCATAGGGATGTAGGAATGTAGCTAACCCAGAAGACCACTCCCAGCCCATAACAGCAAATGAATTTGGTCCCCTTCCTTATAGGTAACCTGGCGCATCTGGCCAAGCTAGGTCACTGCTTCTATTCCCTTCATCCTCAAAAAAGCACGGGGGACTGGAGAGATGGTGCAGAGGTTGAGTGCAGACTGTTCTTGTAGAAGAGCTGAGTTCAGTTCACAGCACCCACATGGGTCGACTCACAGCCAGCTGTAACTCCAGCTCCAGGGGATCTGACACCCTTTTCTGACCTCCATGGGCAAGTGCACTCTTGTGCATAAACCCACACATAAACAAACACACACATGTACATACACACACACACACACACACGCATAATCAAAAATAAAATAGATTTTAAAGATCATTAAAGAATGGGGTTCAAAGCCTACAATGAACTGATTAGGTCTGCTATCAATTTCAAATTCTATTGTGTAAAAACCACTTGCTTTGCATTTATCCATGTGCTTTGTGTCCTCTTAGAGATAAAGCAATATAATATTGGAGTTAAGAAGGGGAAGATCATAACCACAGATCTGAGGGATGTGCACTTTACGGAAATCAATTGGAATTTGGGGAATTGGAGTTTAATCCACAAAATAAGCAGTAAGGATTTGAATCTTTCTGAAGATGATCTTATTAGCTTTGAGAATAAGAGTTTTTGATTCCCAGGTCTCCAGATTCCCAGCAGCCAATATCTTACCTTCATCATTATTTTGATCTAAGGCTATGTGTGGGAAACTGCAGGTGGGACAGCAATCTCTAGGAAAACAACGATTTTGCGCTTGGGGGTCTGCCCTGGGGAAATGGATTTCATTTCCTTTACACAGTATAGAATCACTCTGGAGGTTGGCAGTCCCCTTTTCAGAGTATGGGGCAGAAAAGCTCTCTGATGATAAAATACTGACAGAAGAGACACACAGTCTATTCCCCCACAAGCTGACAAGGCTGTCATTTGAAAGTTTCCCCTTTTGGTCAATTAGTGATTTGAGAAAGAGAATCAGAAAACCCGAGGAAATCCCACATCCTGAAATAGGTTCCCAACACTGGGGAACTCCATCTGAGTAGGCCCATAGCATCACCATATGGCTTACAGTTTAGAACCGGCTGGTCCCGGATGAATTCAGGAGGCTGATGGATGTGCAACACTTTCTGCTGGAATCCAGGAGTGCAGTCCAGACCATCTGCAGATGTTTCCAGGAGCACCTAAGGAAACAGGAGCCGTCAATATTTTAACAGCAGCTAGTGTGTTTGCCCTACTTTTTGTTTTTTTGTTTTGTTTTTTAACCAAATCTGAGACTTCCAGAAATGAGCTGAGGTTTTAATTTCATTTCCCAAATGAAGAGGCAAGTTGATAGGCCTCTCTCCTGGCTGCCAACAACTTGCTTTTGGCAATGAGATTTTTTGGAAGATGCACAAAGGGGAACAGCTGCCTCCACTTCCATTAAGTTGCAGTTAAAGAAATAAAACGTCGTCAGATCTTTACACCTGCTAAGAATCACACCACGGCCACCGTGTGTGAAATTTCATTACAGAAACTGTCAATTTCCTGCAATGCCTGCGTTAAAACCAGTTTCATGTTCATGCATGAAAAGGAACATTGTCATCTCTGCAGAGGAGGAAAAAAGAGTACAGACGTGTCCTGGAAGTCATGCAAGGCCTGTTGGGCCTTTGCACTGATTCAGTATGCTGGCGGCAAGTCACAGATGGCCGCCGCTAAACATCCAAAAGGGAGCTGGTCCCAAACTGAGTCCTTGTGAGTATAAAATACAAATTAAATGGCTACATAAGAAAAATAATATAAACTATATTTTACAGTAATTATATGATGAAATAACATCTTTTTAAAATTATTAATTCTTTCTAAGTTTCATACAAGGTATTTGGATCATATTTCTCTCATGATCTGGGGAGAACCTCCTATTGATAGTCTATTAAATAGGTACCATGGTATTAAACCAACTCCTAATGACCTATTGCTACACCCATGGTTTGGTGCCTCTCTCAACGCTCACCAGAGAAGCTGCTTCTCAGAGTAGAAGGAAATTATCACAAAGACCCACAACCGGTCAACACGCAGAGAACAAGGGGCTGTGGGGTGCTGAGCCCTGAACAGGACATCCACATCACACCCCTCCCCCGGCTCAGAGACCTTTAAGGGGGGGACAGACGGGCGGTAAGATCCAGAGGTGAAATGATCATGTTTTATGTATGGGGTTAAACTCAGAAATTGTTAAAATTAATTTCACCAGTTTTTTTTTTTTTCCACTTTTGTAAATTTGGCTACCAGAAAATTTTAAATTTAGAATTCTTTTCGAAGCCTCACTTTTGTCCTTGGGGAATTTCTTTGTCCACCACCACCACCACCAAAAAACAACACAACAAAAACAAAGCACAAAGCAACCTAGGTTACACTTGTTGAGAACTGTCCTGTGACCACAGCGTGGCATTGCCCTCCCGAAACCAGAAATCAGAGCAGCTGTAATGGTTACCCACAATACACCACTATAAGATTGGGGTTACTAGCATGTGTTTGTGTGTGTGTGCATGTGCGTGTGTGTGTGCATGTGTGTATGCGTGTGCGTGCGTATGTGCATGTGTGTACATGTGCGTGTGTGCATGCGTGTGCGCATGTGTGTGTGCATGCGTGCATGTGTGTGTATGGGGGATCACATGGCTCATACGGTGAAACACTAGGAAGCTCACAAGCTGTGCGAGGTCCCTCTCCTCCCCAAAGATACATAAATGGTTAACGATTACTGAGAAGGGGAGGTTTTTCTGTGATGATGTAGCTGTCCATAAGTTGCCCATGCTCCTGTAGGCAGCCCCAGTTATTCTCACTGGCCCCCTAAGCTGGACTTGGGTGGAATCATTTCTTTGCACTGTTAGTGCCCTAGCTGGGTCGGACAGACATTTGCTCATGTCTCCTCAGAGGTCAGACAATATACATGCTTTGGGTGTCAAAAGTAGATGATGCCCTTTGGGGCAAGGTGAAACTTGGAGATAAAAATGGACTTAAGATCTGAGAAGCAGGGACCATAATCCCCAGGAAGAGAGGGGTGGCTTTGTTCTCATCTGTTCACACGATGCGGCCACCTCATGCACAGGTACGGGCCTGTTCCACAAGGCTTCAAAGGGAAAACTGACCTCTTATCATATGCCAGGTACTGTGCTGAGCTCATTCTGAACATAATTCTGGTTAGCCTCTCAACAAGCCTTATAAGGCTCAGTCAAGTATATTCTGCTGACCCAAGAGCCTAGAGACATGAGCAAGTTTGCCCAAGATCTCCATATGGATGAGTGGAACCAGGACAGTAACCTAGCTTTAAGTGTCATCGATCTGTCTTGTGCTAAGAATCCTGCTCCTTCATGCCCCTTAGACCTTCCACCTAGAGGACAAAGATTGTGGTTTGTCTTCTGAGGCTTTTCCTCACAAAAACCATAGAAGACTGAGCTCATCTGAGCTTTAATAACCAACAGAGTCCTTCGAATTTAACATCCTCAGAAGCAGCCCTCCCAAGATGCTGGAAGATAGGGATTGGTCCATACACACCCCAGCTCCCTCTCCTTCAAGGTGACTTGTGTGTGGTGCATTCTGCCTCTGAGCTTCCACCTGGAATGCCCCTCTAGTTGTCCAGCATGGCCTACTTCACTCCTCACTAGGCATCTATTCTTTCTTACCTTACTTCCCCATGCCTGCCGGTCTCTGGGTCTTTGTCTGAGACCAGCCTTTCAAAGATTGGCACTCAAATCTTTGGCTCAGCATCTGCTCCTGAGAAAACTAAACTTTGAAACCAGACCTCGAATTCTTAGCCACCACACATCAGCAGTGGAAGAAAGCTCGTTATGTTCCCTACCAGCAATCTCCAAAGAAGATACAAAAGGTTGGCCCTCTGAGGAGCCAGGGCACCTCACTGAATACAGCCTTCTGGGAAGCACTGAACCCCAAGGAATGGGAGCAACAATCAGTCTCAGGAGGTTGATGGTGTGACCAGCCTGAACCACTTCAGAGAAGCTGAGGTGGAAAAGCTATCACCCCACCCGACATCATCTTTCTCAAATCAAAGCGGGAGGGAGGGTGCCTTAGCCCAGGGTCTGTGCGGCTCTGCCTATAAGCGTTCCCAAGTCCCAAGTCCGGGCTCTAGGTTGATTGATTCCGAAGTCATCATAAAGCTGACATCCTAAGTGGCACATTCACGGAATGCAGATTCAGAGCTCAGAATAATTTGCCGGCAGCGTTACAAGCAGAAAATCTATAACCGTAACAGGCTAACACTAATTCGGTTAAACGGCAATGGGCAAAGGTCGCCACGAGGCACCTTGTGCCTATAATTATACGTTAACCTTCTAATTGGCTAATTCTGCCCTCAAATCCCAGACCCGTAAACCAGTCACCCAGATACACTAAGTGAGGTGCAATTTCCCTGGGGATCCGGAGCTAATAGTCTAGGGGAGAGAGAAGGAGAGAGGGTGGGACTGAGGGAGGGAGGGAGAGAGGGAGGGAGAAAGGGAGGGAGGGGAGGAGGAAGAGGGGAGACAGAGAAAAGTGGGAGGAGAAGGGGAGGGAGGGGGAAGGGGGGAGGGAAAAGGGAGGGGAGAGGGGAAAAAAGAGATTAGTGAAAAGGAACACATCTTTCTGGGTGAGTTGAATTCTCCATCTTCTCCTGTGCTCAGTTTTTGTCCTGATTCATTGTGGTGGTTTGTTTAGGGTATCTCAATAATTATAAAAACTAACTTTTTCTAACCAGTGACCCCCAGGGAGGGTAGATGCAGTCAGAGACCTAGGACCGAAAGGCACAGCTTTGTCTTTGCAAAATTCTTGGAAGGGGGAGGGAAAAGGGAGGGGAGAGGGGAAGAAAGAGATAGTGAAAAGGAACACATCTTTCTGGGTGAGTTGAATTTTCCATCTTCTCCTGTGCTCAGCTTCCGTCCTGATTCATTGTGGTGTTTTGTTTAGGGTATCTCAATAATTATAAAAACTAACTTTTTCTAACCAGTGACCCTCAGGGAGGGTAGAAGCAGTCAGAGACCTACGAAAGGCACAGCTTTGTCTTTGCAAAATTCTTGGACTTAGTGTCTCTACCAGTCAAAAATTCAAATTAAATAGTTTACGAGATGAAAGTACACAGCGTCCTGCTGGGCAGGGGGCCAAGGAGGTAAAATCCTGCCACACCACATAACCCTTCAATCTTTTGTTCACTGTATTCGTTAAAGCCCTGAGATTCAGGGAGGGCTTGCCTACACGTGGCCTAGAAACTCGTGGGGAGCCCTACAGTACAGGGCATGGGCATCCAAGCCACTTTCCTTCTTCAAATCTTGGTCAGCCCTTTGAGGATGGATTGGGTGAGCTTTGCAAATGTTCTGCACCTCTGTTTTCTCATCTATAAAACATGGAAAATTGAGGTGTGTGTCATGTGGATTGGAAATGGTCATGTGGATTCAACAGGACGATGCATAGAATGTAATTAGAAAGGTGCTGTCCAGGCTACATATTTGATAAATGGTAACTATTGCATTATTTTAGTCTAGAAAAGCAGTAAGGATTTAACAAATCCTCCTTTAATTGGCTAACTAAAATTAAATATAGGTTGAAAGAAAGCACAAGACCCCCGGGAATAGCTTAAAGAGGGGATGGGAGAGTGCAAACTCACCAAGCAAAATGAAGGGAATTGCAGCCCCGGAAGGGGTACTTTTGCTCTTAACTTGGGATTGATAATCAGTTGTATAGATGGAGAAGAATGGAAACCCATCTCTTCATTTCTGTTTCCATGTCAATGTATGCGATGTGTATGTGTTTGTGCCTATATGTGGGAACACTGTGTGTGTGTGTGTGTGAGTGTGTGCGTGTGTGTGTCTGTGCATGTGGAAGCCTGTGATGTTGACTGTCTCCCTCAGTCACTATGTATTAGACAGAATCTCTTACTTGAACCCAGAGCCTGCAAATCTAACTAATGTTGATAGCTAGCTTGCTCCAAGCATCCCCCATCTCTGCCTCCTGTGTGCTAGGATGCAGGCAGGCTGCCACAATCACCTGGCTTTTATGTAGGTTTTGGGGATCTGAACTCTAGTCCTGGTACTTGAGCAGTAAGCACATTCCATCTTCCCAGCCCTAGATGTCTCTTAGACCAGCATACCATGCTTTCAAGAGACTTCTTCTGAGCTTCTCTGGTTCAGTTAAACAGCAATAAGCAAAGGTCACTGCCAGG